TAGAGCAGGCACACATTTTTAACTGACATCCATATTTTCTAGCCATTTAAAGAGATAGTTAATAGATTTGTTGAGTGTATTTTGATTTCTTGTCTGCTACTGTGGCATCCACTACCCAAACAACATGCCTCCGGAAACTCTATGAACTTTGATAAACGTGGATAGTTGTAGAGGGGCTTCAGGCCTTTTGTTCATAGGGTCGCTATGAGTCGTGCTCGACTTGAAGACAATCAACAACAGCATTGACAGCAACTACCTGAAATGTTGATTGCAGATCCAAGTAAAGTAAAATCTTTGAAAATTCTCATATTCTTTATTTATCCTGATATTGCTTATCGATCTGTTCATAAAGTTTTTGGGTTTTTTTTATGTTGAGATATAACCTATTTTGAAGGCTATATAGTCTTTGATCTTCTTCCGATCTTCTTTGGTAAAATTTTTCCAATACCCTTGGTGGATTGGTCTCAAAAGAACTTTCTGATTAAGACAGACTAGAAACAGGATTGTTCATCCACTTCTGAGATAATATGCCCTTGAAAACCCCAGGAAGATCAACAGAACATTGTCCACATGAACTCATTTTAACAATTGCATTTTTTTTAATTACTATTTTCCAAACAAAGAAGGTAAAGAACTATTTGCTTTATGGTTCAAAACAATGCACATTTAAATACAGGTATTATCTTTGAATGGAAATGCCAAGTAGCACAGAGATCAGAACTAGCTACGCAGATAGAGTAACTCCATCAAAAGTCTTAGAATAAACTTTGACCCTAATCAAATATTGTGAGTTGATTATTGCACTCAGTAAGAATAAGTTGGTTTAAGGGAAAATAAACTTTTACTAATCAGTAGTAATAAGACAGAACAAAACAAAACAAAACAAAAATAAATGCTTCAATATTGATTATTTCTCTAGAGATGTGCTTCCCTTGAGGTATTTCAAAGGAGAATTTTTTAATTGTTCCTTGTTTTCGGAGGCAAACATATCAGGTGACTTTTCTTGGGAACAGTTACCAGCTTCCTCTTTGACTAGTATAAATTTCTACCTTCCTTTATAGAATATACTCTTCAAATAAGCATCCTTACTATTTATTTTTATTTACAGGTAAGTAAAACTAAACAAAGTATCTCTAGAACTGCAGAGTGAAGCTCACATCTTGTGTTTTCATCGGGTTTTATTTATCACATGGAAAACATATAACATATTGTGTGTGTGTGTGTGAATAAGGCTAATAGAGTACAAATGAGGGAAGAAAAGAGAGAAAGAATAGTATAGATTAAAATGGGTTATTTTGTTACTCTATTATTTCAATTGCAGCTACAATTTCCAAATGTGCACTTAATTATTGTAATTTCTGAAATATTTGTTATGAATTTGTAGGTAATGTTGCTTCATGCTCCTAAACATGTAGTTAGTTTTTAATATTATTGTCATATCATAGGGAGACAATAAGAAATTAAAAAAAAACAAGATAAGAAAAACAAAATGAAACAAAATCCAAAGCTTTTCAAGTTCATAAGCCTCTGAGCCAAGGTTAAATTAAGGCCTGTCAATAGTAACAGAATTTGAACTTAAACACTTGTGATTTATTCTTTCGCCCGAAGCATGGAAAATCCATAGTAATAATTTGAAATGATGAATGAAAAAATAAGGGAAGGTTATTTTATATCTGTCTGCCTGTCTATCTAATCTATCTATCTATCTATCTATCTATCTATCTATCTATCTATCTATCTATCTAATCACTGCTCTGTGCAGTCCTGTACAGAGGTAACTCGTGGTCCCTGTGATAAACCCCATCCCATGACACTGATGTGTCAAATGCGATAATGGTTTACCCAGGGTGGACAGTGTTTGGCGGAGTTCCCCTATTAAATAAAACAAGCTTGGAAGCAGGAGTGGCATCCAATTCTGAAGTAGCTTGCCTCTGGAAACTCTAGGAACAGTGCTCAGGTCTTTCATTCTGAGGGTCGCTATGAGTCAGCTATGACTCGACGGCACCTAACAACAACAACACCACCACACACACACACACTCACACACATATACATTTTTTGCTTTTTGGTGGTGAAATAAACCTTCTCTATGCATCTGAGGTTCACAAGCCTACTTCTTTCTAGATCTTGCAACTAGATTATTCTTATTCAATCCATCTTCCATGGGATTTTGTGGTATTTGGCTTTTGCTGTATCAGTGATCAGGCTAATCATAACTCATGATTTGCTAGTTTTTAGACAGCATAAATGGCACTATATTTTGTATGTTTGTGTGTGTAGGTGTTTTTGCTACTTGCTGAGTCAAATCTGACTTTCCAAATAAGACATATTCTATAATTAATTTTTGAAAACCACAAGAAACCACAGATCAGAGATCAAATCTGTCCATTGACATGTTTATAATCTCCTTTTGGGTGCAAATTGTCTTACTCTATCTATTCTCTATCACCTACCTTGATACAAATTATTTTTTATATAAACTTGATAATTTTTTTACATTTTTTTCTTGTTTATGTGCTGCATCATTCTCAAAAGTTGTTTTTGTTGTTGTTGTCATGTTCCATCAAGTCACCTGTGACTCACAGCGACCCCATGTACAAGAGCTCTGAAGCCGGCCCTGTCCTGAGCCAATCTCAATGGCTCCGACGCACCTACCCCCATTGCCCTAGTCACTGTATCAATCCATCTCATCTGGGTCTTCGTCTCCTGCACTGTGGAGGCACCCTTTTGAGCACGATGTCCTTTTCTAAGGATACAGTTAGAAAATGAACTGTGATTATTTGGGCATTGTTTATGTGATGTACCATTCTTACTTCTGTCTCATCTATTACTCATCTCTGCCATTCCTCAGGATACTTGTGCAACACATTTGACGCACATTCTTCAAACTTATCTCCTTCACTCTTTGTCAGACATGCAAGGAGCATATCCAAATATCAATATAGATTAACACATGAGGGGGCATGTGTACAACATAGCACAAACTAAACCAGCTTCCACGGACATTGTAGTTTTAACTGACAGCAACTCTCTGTGTGTAAGAGAAGAACTGTGCTCAATAAGGTTTCCAGTGGCTTCGGTTTTTAGATCTTTTATAGTGTAGTCCACAGAAAGTTGCACTGAAAACCCAAACACTGAACGACTTTGGTGAGTTGAATCCACAAGGGTATCTGTAGGAGAATGATGGGGACTTTTCCTTCTGTTGCAACCGATGCCTCAGAATCCCAATGGAAGGTTACTATGTGTTGGAATGAACTCATTAAGAATAAGAAAATGAGTGATTATTGAGTAGATCTTTTTCCCTAAGAAGGATTGGAATAACCAACTTTATGGCCACTAATTGAGTACTTAACCATTTACAGCACCTTGGAAATCCCATATATAACACTCAAACTCAGAAAATTGAAAGTGATTGCCATCAAGTAAGAACCCACTCCTCGCCTACCCTCCAGGTAGTGTTTGAAGGTTTTTAATTGCCCATTTTTCTGTGGTGGAAATGCTGGCAAATTTGAATAGTCAGAGAAGTAACAACCTCTGAGTTAGCAGAGCAACTCTCTCTGACTGGACCTCCATCAAGATTGGGGGTTTTTATCATGCTTCCTTCCTCTTTGTTATTAAGGTGGATTTAAAAAAAAAATTTTTGTTCTGTCTTTAAGCTTTTTTTGCTGTTCATTTATTTTCTGTTTATTTTCTAACCCCCTAAAGAAAAACAAAATGAAAGACATATTTTTGAGGGTGATAGAGAAGTATATAAAGAACCAGTCTATAATTTTAGTGAAATTGGACATAGGTATACTTTATTTTAAACTTATGTTTAAGTCAGAAAAATTCCATAGAAGTTCAAAAGGAGAAAATATTGGGAATAATTAAGATATCACAAGTAGAAGTACATGGTAGCAAGCTAATGGCAAGAAACATGGCCGGTACATATTTTAGATATTCTATACAAAAGATAAAAAAAAAATATTTTGAGAGAACTATAGTTTTTTTCCTTTGTGATGTGTCTTTTCTTTTTTTTTTTACATTTTATTTTTTGTGTGTGTATACCGTCAAGTCGGATCTGATTGGTACAGGAGGGGACTGTCCCTCTTTCTCCAGCAGAGCATCTGGTGGATTTGAACCGTGA